AAACGGAAAGTCTACTCAAATATAGGTATCCGCAAAATAACGTTTAAAGTGATATATATATATATATATATATATATATATATATATATATATATATATATATATATATATATATATATATATATAAGCTAAAAAGTAAGAAGACGATGATGTTCTACTAATCTTTCAAGTAGAGATCTAGCTTGAAAAATTAGCATCGAAAATTTTGTCTCGAGTACTGAGAACCAGCTGAGATGGAAAACTCGTTCAAGCTGATAAATAGGTTTGTTCGTTGAGTTTTATTGATTTTTAGAAATATCCAATCTGTTCAGATAAATAAAAGGGATGTATTTCGTTATCATCTACGAAGATAGATCAATAAGTAATTACAAGCTGAATTTTGATCTGAAATGTTCATTGTCTAATGCTCGACTATATGATTTATTTACAACCAAATTAAGTGCAACTGCGTAGCAGTAGATCATATTGAAAATAAAACTCATGTAAAATAATCGCTTTCATAATCATTAGGCTGTACACTTAATGATTTACCTATGTATATATACTTGTGTCTGCGCGCGCGTGTGTTAATACATATCACTGTTTTAACCTTCTAAAGGTTCACGCTCAATTTATTTCTAGTCTGGCAGTGTTTGCAATCAAAGTCAGGCTTTGAATTCTAAATTTCATTCTGCTGCATTCTGTAAAAAATTAGAATTAATATCAAACAAAACTAGTCTTGGTACATAATTGGCAAATCCCCCTAAACCTTAATCTATTCGTATTCGTAATATTATTACACATATTATTAGTCTACATTTTCTGCTTCTATCCCACTCCCACATAAACGCATACACGGCGCAAAGGAATTAGTTCAAGGACACTGATCTATGGCCTTTATTCCAGGAATGGTTATTTGCTTTACTGTATTTCCATTCTTGTTCAAATGAAACATTGACGCCTTATGACATTATTCATTCAACGCTCGGTCAAATTATAAAGGTTTTAGATACAATACGATCAATAATAGTTGTTTTACGAAAAAATTACCATCGGAATTTTCCTTGTAAAATGAATTTAGAGTAAAGTAAGGATTATTAAAGAATACCTTTGATGGCAAAATAATGGAATTAATCCAAATAAAAGATGCAGTGATCAGTGGAACTATTCTGCTTATTAGTTGTGTCCACAGCTTATGAGCGATAATAAAAGAAGTGGTTGTAAAGAGAATAAGAAGTTAAACTTGGGTTAACATCTATTCAGTTAAACAAGCATCTTATTTAGTCCGACCATTTCCGACCGAACGAAAGAAGAGGAATGTTTTTAACATACCACCGATGTTGCGTCTGCTGACATTTCCGCAAAACTTCACCAATGTAGATAACAGGTCACGTTTTTGTGTACATTTTCATAATTAAAGGGACTTATTCATAGACATAAATCGTGTGACCTGATTACGTACTTTGCTATCATTCGACTACATTTAAAACCTTTATGTTACATTAAGTAGTACCGCCATGAACTTCTGAGATTAAATCATGCTACTAAATCTAGTACAATATCAGAGTCTTTATGGGATAACTTAAAGATTTTTTTGTCTTATATGCATATCTTAGTATTTTATTTGAAAGAATTACTGCTTTGGCTTTATTTATCTGTCAAAAAAATTAAATTGTACGATTAATTATTCGCCATTTAGAGAACGGCCCATTTCGCAATTTTTTCAGTTCCTACTCGGAGGCAGGGTTTCTCTTCGATATAAATTGTAGATTATTTGTATATTTTAATTGGGATTGGAACTCGGTTTTCCTATTTCCAATACCAAGTCGTTATCGATTACACCATCCACACATCCAAGCTTAATCACTTGGTATTCCTGACCGGTCACCCATCTAGGTACTGACCAGGCTCGACGTTGCTTAATTTCGGTGGTCGGACGGGAACCGGCACCACAACGTGATATGGCCGTAAGACCGTGTATAATCTGGAAGGTAATTAATGTAATTCGCACTTAATACATTTGCTTTTTAAAATCCCGCTTGGTAATTTCTTAGAAATACAAATGTAATAATATCAGTAAAACATAAAATTTCAATGAACATAATCACTAGAAAGATTTTGATTGAGTTTTTGAAAATCTTTATTATATATGAAATTATTGAAATGTATCCTTATCTTGGTTGTTATAGTTACAACGTCTGTACTACAGTAGCCTGCAACCTCTTTCAGGTGCCTATTTCATATGGTGATGTTTTGGAAATTTCAAAGCAAATCATTCATTCACTCCACACTCGTAGACTGTTATCATTCGCCGCTCTTTCTAGAACAAGGTAACAAACTGATAAGTTATGATTAAAACCAACAGAAACTAGTTGAACAAAAGTAACCCCGAAAATAGTGCGAGTGGTGTAAAGGATAATGGCCATAACCATTGATTCCCGTACGATCACAGAAGTTAAGCAACGTTGATCATAGTCAGTACCTACATGGGTGACTGCTTGGGAATACCAGCTGCTGCAAGCTTGAATGTGCGAGTGATGTGATGGATAATGACCATAACCATTGGTTCCCGTACGATCACAGAAGTTAAGCAACGTTGATCATAGTCAGTACCTAGATGGGTGACTACCAGTTGCTGCAAGCTTGGATATGCGAGTGGTCTAATGGATAATGGTTCGAAATTGAAAATCAGAGAATCAACAAGAGCTTATAATTTTAGTCGGATTCGTTATATTCACTTCAGTGTAAATATCCTTGAGAATGGTATGAATCCACCTATTCTCTCTCCAGCTATGGGTTAATTAGTAAAACATATTAGTAAATCATTATTATCTAAAAATAAACTTACAATCTAAAAGTATATTCTAGCTTTAAATAACATACAAAATGTTGATAAGCTATAGAAAACGAATCAATCAATGTATTTTATATTTCAAATTTGTAAAACTTCACAATGATCATTAAACTTTTTTTTTAATATTCCAGATACCCCGAAAAATCGATTTATTTACTACAAATAATCATTGATTTAGGGTTTATATAATATCAAGGTAACATAGATGTGGTTCTACAGAAGGATACTGAGAATACCATGGATGGAACATATGAGTAACGAGAATATATTAAAGAAAGTAAAAATAAGTATGTTAGAATATTAAAATATCTGGATCAGATTATGAGAAAAGCGGGCTTAGAGAATTTGACATTCACAAAAGAGAACGCGGGCTTAGAGAATTTGACATTCACGAAAGAGAACGCGGGCTTAGAGAATTTGATCTATTGAATGCAAGGTTAACGGGAAACATTTTTGTGTAAATGAATGACAGAGCAGTTACTATGAGGTTATAGTAAGAGAACAAACATAGCTTAGAGTTAAAAATGACGGGAAGTTGTGGAGAGCTATGATCAGCCACGTCCTGAAAGGATGCAGCACAAAGGTAGATAACGACAATGTCAATGTGTTTTGTTTAGTATTGTGTTGGAGTGGAGAAGGGAGAAATTGTCATGTAGGTTGGGAGGCAGCTATCGAGATTGATACGTAAAGGGATTTTTAACATATACACTATCTAGTCAGGCACAAGGCCATATTTTGAAAGTTCGATCTCTCTTTCACCCCCCTCCACACACACACATACCCAAGAGATAGCCAGATTTAAAATTAAGTGCTTTGGTTGTATTTAAGAACTGATATATTTTGTATTAAGAATCTTCTTAACCTTTTCGCCCTACCCGTATTTTTAACAACTTCGGACAAATTGGTTAGCGTACCTTGACAGGAAATACAAAGTTATAAACGTCATTTCAAGTTCCCAGTGTTGTTAATCGTCAGTTGGGCATTATAGGCCATCACGGTCCAGCTAACAACTGTTTTTAGTACATACATGAGGAAGCAGGGTGTAAAGGTTCTTACTTGTGTGGGATGATACTTGTGATTAGGGAAACGACGTGGGTATAGTGGTGGGGTTTGGTCGCTGGATGATTTGGAAGGGAATTGCTAAGGTTGGTGGGGTTTAGAAGGATGTCCCACCTCCACATTCACCTTCAGTCTATCGCCCCCGAATGAAATAAAAAGAAGGGAAAAAAGAGTAAATATGAATGTTGAATGTCAAATGGGTTACAAGTGATTCACATTAGATTTTCGGCTCCCATGAAGATATATTGTTTACTAGAGGAAAGTTCTGTATTATCCGTCAGTTTATCTACTACGACAACGGCTACGACTAATACTAACGCTCTTACCACGGCTACTTCTTTCTTATTTTATTTGACGTGTCCCTTCAGGACGTAGACGTTCATGGCCCTCCACCTCCTCCTGTCCCTTTTAACTCTTAATAAGGTTTTGACTTTTTGTTATTTCTCCCAAACCCTATTTCGCCATCCATTTGCTCAATCTCATTAAGTATGTCACGCGTTGCTTTCTATTGTCTTGCTTTCCCTTTCATCCGCCATGTGAGTATCAGATTTTCTAAGCCCTTCTTTTTCATTACGTGTCCCAGAAATTTCAGCTGCCTCTTCATGATGTCAAGTATAAATTTCCTCTTTGTTTTCATTCTCTCCAAAACCTCATCATTTCTCAGATATTCGGCCTATGGTATCCTTAGCACCCTTCTGTAGAACCATACTTCCGTTGCCTTGAGTCTGTTCTTCATCTTTGAGGAGATTGTCCAACATTCGCTGCCATAAAGGAGAACATATATCACGTAGCAGTTCAGTGCCCTTTTCTTTGTTTCCAACGAAATTTTCCTGTTTCTTAATACTTCTGCTTAGCTTTTGGAAGGCATCTTCGGCCATCCCACTACATATTCGGGTCTCAGTGTCACACTTTCCATCCTCTGTCAGAACACTTCCCAGATATCTAAATTTCTGTATCTGCTTGATTTTAGTATCCTCAAACTGTAAATTGCATTTTGGGTTTATCTTTTTGCTGATGACCATGCATTCTGTCTTCTTGTAGTTTATGCTTAGTCCCTTCTTCTCGCTCTCCTTCGCTACCTTCTGTAAGAGGTTTTGTAGTCACCTTTCCGTGTCTTCTATCAGCACTGTGTCATCTGCATATCTTATGTTGTTAAGATTGTGGCCGCTAATGATGAATCCTGGTAGGATTTCCAGTTCAACCGAATTGTCTGGCTGTATAGGTTGAATACGTCTGGTGAGAAGATGCATCCTTGCCTTATACCCCTTTCTATTTTTGTATGTCTGCTGAAATCATTTTTTATCTTTATGGAGACGGTTTGCTGCCAATAGTTTTCTTTGATTATTCTTAATTAAAAATCATTCTTGAACATTTTTTTTAGTTTTAATTCCAAGCTAATAGGTTAAATTTAATTTTTCCAATAAACAAAGTATTTTACTGTATTTCAAGCCTAATTTAAATTTGCATAATGGCCAACATTATTTGGGGACAAATCTCTTCTTGGACGAACCGATAACTTTTTGTTTTCATATATACCAACATTTTATACAGCACCCAATGTAAGGAGATACTCAAAACCCTAGAAGCTATACTTATATAAAATAAACTGCCCACATTAATTGAAATATCATTCATCACAGGAGACTGTATCTTAAAGTGTAATGACATATTTAATGGACCCACACACACAATTATATATGTATAAACAACGGCTCCTACTGCTAATAATGCATTACTCCTCAAGTACGAATTGAGTTCTTCGGGGTACTGACGTATTTCGCATAGAAAAACGTTAAAATTTCCTTTCCTATGGGTATGATCTCTGACGGATGTCAAATCAGTCGGGTTTGATCCCGGCTTGAAGCAATCGGACGTCTAGCCACACTTAAGAGCTATGATAGGGCGAAACATTCTTTTTGTGGATGACAATATATATATATATATATATATATATATATATATATGTGTGTGTGTGTGGGGGGGTCAATTAAATATATCATTACACTTTAAGATACAGTCTCCTATCATTAATGATATTTCAATTAATGTGGGCAGTTTATTTTATATAATAATAGCTTCTAGGGTTTTGAGTATCTCCTTGCGTTGGGTGCTGTATAAAATGTTCGTATTATCCATTAATTATTGTCTAATGCTGATAGCTGTATTTCGGTCAATCCTGATGTGCTTGTCGATATTTGCACGGATTGCACTGAGTTTCGACAGGTGATAGGCCAATCTGCGAGAGAATATATATATATATATATATATATATATATATATATATATATATATATATATATATATAAATTTAAGAAATCAGATTTCAAATCAGAATTAATTTTAAATTCAAAATATTTGAGAAGCTCTTACTAAAACCATAAAAATGTGTAATGAAATTACACGCACATACACACAAACACATACGCACACAAATATATATATATATATATATATATATATATATATATATATATGTATATGGGAAAATTTTTATATATCAAGAATAATTTTAGGAAAATCTATAACAAATTTTCCCACCTTGTCATAGATTTTCTAATATATATATATATATATATATATATATATATATATATATATATATATATATATATATATATATATAAACTCAGTCCAAGGCGTGTAATAGATATGAATGCTTGAATGCATTGCGACACTGATAATAAAGCATGTAAAAGTTATGATCCAGTGGCGTATACATAGAATTGATAACCTTTATTGATGGAAAAAATTATATATACGCGAAATAAATTCATTTACATATTTGGAGACATTAAAAGTCGTATTCAGTATTTAGTATGTCTCCAACCGGTATTAACTAACTGCTTCAACTCGACATGAGACGGAGGAATACAGCTTAAGATTTGGTTACCCAGAAATGTATTGGCATTCCTTCTGACAGTAAATTCAAAGCTCTTGCAAGTTCTTCATCTTTTGTTCTATACCCGTTTTTCAACTCTCACTTCACATAGGTTCGATTATGCTAAGGTCAAGTCTTTAGGAAAGCTAGTCTTGTAACACTAAAGTGTCTTCATCAATGAGTCACTTCTTCATTACACGAGATGCATAGTAATGTGATCCATTATGTTTCTCCATTTCACATTCACAAGTAGAATTTTAGCAAGGTAATATACTTTTGTAACCTAGGGAAGGTTACTGAATAGAATAATCACACGAAGTTTGGTAATGAACGATAATACTTAGGACAAGAATAACAGATATAAGATTCGCCAGCGGCGCGTAGAAGAAGTAGTCAATTGAATTTAACAACGAATCTTCAACTGCCAACCGCCCCACGCGATCAGATGAGGTACAAGGCCGAATTTAATGTGGGGTATCCGAGCCGATAGGTTCGGCCAAAAATTCTAAGTAGACACCGTATAAAACAGGGTCGAGTAACTGCTTCACGAGACGAGACTCTGCCCTTCGATATAGCCTCATCTGGGGATCCTCTGTGCCCCGGAGGCAGAGAGTTTGACCAGCACAGCTGGAGACGAATCTTCAACTGCAGACTAACACACAGTATTTACTACTGTATTTATGTGAATGGGGGACATACCCATTATCGTCCGTATGTATGCTGCAACATG